GCTATAAGTTTTTAGAAGTTTGTTTTCAGAGCTCTGTAATGGAAGTTCTTGACAGTTGCAGAGGATTAGTGAACTTTTCTCTGTTTTCTGTTTTCCTTTGTAACAGTCTTTACTTTTAATGGGCCGGTTAATGGGCCGTGTTTATTAGAAGAGCCTAATATCTTTAAATTTGAGACGAGTCTATTTTATTTTAGGGCTATTTGTCTCCAAAATAAAATCAGATTTTATTTTATTGTTATGAATCTTTTTTCTCTTCAAATCATGGACTTGTTACTTTAAGGAAAAAACATTTACCAAATTCATAATTATCTGCTTGGTTCTTTCCTTCCTTTTTTTTAATAATCAAGGATCCAATACAGAGATTCAAACTAATCTGTATGTAAAAGAGTCGAATATTCTTATTATGCAGACCAACCAGAATCCGTTAAACAACTTTTGATCGTTCAAATTCACATGGATCAAATTAAGTTTTTTTTGTTATTACGCAAACTAATTCAACATGTCAGAGAATGGGCAAAAGCATTGACACGTGTACATTGAATTTGCCTCCCCATAGTTAGGGCATTTACCTTCACATGTGCACATTTATTCATATTCATATTCATATTCTAATCCTTCTGAACATTAATGCTTGAGATAGACAAATCAAAAAGCTCGAAGAGTGGACCGACATTTCCAACCTTGACACGTGTAAGGTTTCTACGCGAGCTCCAACATGCAAATACACATTACACATGTACATATTGATATGGCGCATGGTGAGAGGCAAATGATATGGACATGAAGAGGAAAAAGCGTACTTAAGCGTTATTTCTCATGCGGTGCTAGTAGCAGATAACAATTGTACTTCTAAACTCCTGTTTTGTTAAAAGAAATGTACTTTAGTTCAAAACAAGACTTGGAAGTTGAAGAAGTTGTCATTTTTGAGTCATTATTAGCACAAGTTCTTTGTATGTTCTCATGTTGTGAACAAAGTAATGGACCCACACCAAGGAAGTGTGTCACTAGTCGACAATCTACATCTCATTACTCTCGC